TACCATTTACGGACTATTTTTCTCAATATCTTCCCCCCTTCACACCCGTTGGCAACAACGTTGTCTACTAGCTCGGCAAACCGAGTATAGGGTTACGGCCGTCTTCTTTTAAAAAAGTGTCGAGGGGGAGACTACTCTCTCCCGTCTGATTGGCCCTACCGTCTTACTCATGGATATCTCATGGAGAGGCGCCCTGCTCTCTCTTGGGAATTGCCAAGTTCCTTATCAAAAGCCCCACGTTGGGCTGCCCCTTTTTTAACGAGCACGCAAATTTCCCCCCGTCGTCGTCTTCACTCTCTGCTCTCTCTTTACCTTCCCTTCCGCGATGGACCCAACCCTTTTATCCAGACTTTCATTGACTTTTTTACAACAACTGATTATTTTACAAAATTCTGTACCCTTTAAGCCTTTTACTTCAATCCTTGTACCCCCTTTCCCCCCTACTATCCCCTTTTCCCCCCTGTTTTTCTGTAACCTATGATATCCCTCCCCTTCTGCCATCCAATACCCTATCCTTCCCCCTGCAGCGCTGTAAGCCCTTGGGCTTAGCGCTTTTTTTTTATTATAATAATAATAAACACAAAATTATTATTGTAAAATGAAAACAAAGTTGCAAGATTAAAAAAAAAATTTCAAAGAAAATACAGTTTTCAAAAACAACAACAAAAAAAATATCATCAAGGAATAACTGATTGAACACTTTAACTTTAATTTTCAGTTTAAAAAAACCTGAACAAACAAAAGAATTATTTACTTTAAAAAAAGAACTTAAAAATTGCATAAGGTGAATTTTTCAATAAATATAAAAAAAAAGATGCAAAAAACACAGAACAAAAAAGGGTTTTAACATCAGTATGCAGAACAACACATAAATATAAACACAATACTTTTAATTTTCTTGCAAAAAAAGCTTTGGGTTGAAAAATTTGTAAAATTTTCGCCAACAAAATAATGGCACTATTGTCTGTGGAGTAAGACAAATTAGACACGGGAAATGAAAAAAATTAACACAAAAATGGTTCAACACACAGAGAAAAAATTAAAAAGCAAAAAAAGAAAACAAAAACCAAAAATACAAAATGCTGGGAGAAAAATATAACTGAACAACACTGAGTTGGAGCAGAAAATAATGAAAAATTACGAATTACTTCACTGCAAAGTGTGAACACAAGAAATTTTGAAGTGTAAACACAAGTTTTTTTAGCTTTTTTTTCCCAAAAAGGAAAAAACACTAAAGTACTTAAATATATAAAAAAAAAAAAACACAACAAAAATAAAGCACGAAAAAAACACTGAAGAAAGAGGGGGAAAAAAAAAATTGCAAACATATATAATGAACACGAGCTAATCAAAGTCATGAAGTCACAAGAAAACACTGGAAACAAAAAAAAAAAATTTAGCACCGCAAAAGTCTCTATGAAAAAAAAATATTCGTTAACACTTACGAGGTGTACAATAGGGGGAGTGGTGGAACTTGTTTGGGGGCGTTCCTGACTACCCCCTACGTGATCGAAGAATTTGCGCTTAAATCGACGATGAACTCACACAGGAGGCTTTTACGGTGGCGCAAACTGACGAAGGAACACTCTTGGCTCTTGACCCCCTATGTGGTCCTTAAAAATATGGTGCTAGAACCCGTAATAAGGGTACAAAAACAGTGGTAGTGGGTGAGGTGAGTGAGGCAGCACAGTGGTGAGACACCGCGTGGTGACTGGGCCTATGGGATGAACGGCGTAAGCCACACTGGGGACACCCGCACTAGGCACAAAGATATTCTAAGCTGGGCTGGCTTAAAAACAAACCCACAAAATACCACAACATCACAGGGATGATAAAAGCACTCAGAACAGCTAGAACTTGAAGCACAGAGCGATGAAAAAGACTATACCCATGTGGCTTGCTTGAGTACTGGGTTAGTTGCTGGCTGGCTTGGCTTAACCCTTCACACAGACTTGCTTGATAACTTGCAATGATGAGCACAGCAGGAGTGGAAAGCTGGCTTGGCAGGCAAGGCTGGATGGTGTAAGGCTGGCTGGACTGGGCTTGGGCTGACTCCCCCACCACTGTGGCTTACCCTTTGTGGCTTGGCTTACTTTGCAAACCCGGGTCAACCCCTCGGAGGTAATGCAAATAGCAATTAAAATGGTAATACACAGGGACTGACCAGTGAATAGTGCAGAGGGCTGGTAAAAGCTTGCTTGGGGTAGATCGGCCTACTGACCACACAAAATGTCCATCGTCGGCTGCGAGAATTTATCTCGTGCATCGGTGTAATTATCAATTTTACGCCCACACTACCGGCACCAATTGTCGGGGGGTTCGAAAGGAGATATGATACTACTACCATTACCACTACTACCACTACCACCACCACTACCACCACTACCACCACTACCACTACCACCACTACTACTTCTACCACTACTACTGTCACCACCACTACTACTGCCACCACCACTACTACTACCACCACCACTACTACTACTACTACTACTACTACTACTACTACTACTACTACTACTACTACTACTACTACTACTACTACTACTACTACCACCACCACCACTACTACCACTACTACTACTACTACTACTACTACTACTACTACTACTACTACTACTACTACTACTACCACCACCACCACCACCACTACTACTACTACTACTACTACTACTACTACTACTACTACTACTACTACTACTACTACTACTACTACTACTACTACTGCTACTACTACTACTACTACTGCTACTACTACTACTGCTACTACTACTACTACTACTACTACTACTACCGCCACTACTACTACCACTATTACTACTACTACTACTACTACACCACCACCGCCGCCGCCGCCGCCACCGCCACCACTACTACTACTACTACTACTACTCCCCTCAAGGAAGGTTCCTTGATGTTGGTGAGGGGCTCTTGATTTAGGGAATTGGATCTGTGCTCCAGTTCCCCGAATTAAGCCTGAATGCCTTCCACATCCCCCCCCCAGGCGCTGTATAATCCTCCGGGTTTAGCGCTTCCCCCTTGATTATAATAATAATAATAATAATAATAATACTACCACCACTACCACTACTACTACTACTATCACCACTACCACTACTACCATTACTACTACTACCACCACCACCACTACCACTACACACTACCACCACCGCCGCCGCCGCCGCCACCGCCGCCACCGCCGCCACCACCGCCACCGCCACCACCACCACCACCACCACCACCACCACCCGCCACAGTAATAGTACACCTCCCTCTGTGTCCATGTATTGTTTGTAATGGCGTGACAAAGCTCCTGGAGAGCGAAACATTGCCACAATAAAATGTCACATTAGTTGCACTTGTGTCCTTTTTATATATTTTCGGTAATTCTTTTAGCATTTATAAGTAATACCATTTTAAAGATAGAATGGCTGTATAGCCCTTGTGGCTTAGCGCTTCTTTTTTTTATTATAATAATAATAATAAAGATAGAATGAAAAAAAAATTCAGACATTCCTGGCAAAAAAAAAAAAAATGCAGACATTCCTGGCACTAAAAGAACATTTCCTCTGTTCATTTAATCACATCCCTAGGCCTCTCCTGTATTACACTTGCCTTACATTTTGAATACATAATCATCCAAAAATAGAAGATTTACTCTATTTCCTGGATAATAAAATATATCCAGAAAGGATTGGTCATAGTTTACAGCCAATTAAAAACCCATAAAACAGACTGGGGATGTAGGGGGGGCCTTGCCCATCCTCAGGAAAATTGTCAAAAATCTAATATTTCTGCTAATTTGAGCCCAATTTCAAGCTGTTTCCAGTCTGGAAACCAACCCAAATCATTTCAGTAGTATGTCTTCCAGTCAATTAAATGATACCAAGAAACAGTCTATAAACTCTTAAAAAAAAAACATCCTGGAAAACACCTTAGAGTTGCCATTTTAAACCTAACATATGGTCAGTTTTGATTTCCCCTGTCATGCACTGCATGGGGCAGGATTTTTTTTTATACTGTGCACCTCACCATGTGGACCCATTCTCTCATATCTAGACCAAAATTTACGTCATGAGCTGAGCTTATGACGTAGAATTACATAAGGGACTCCTGACCTCCGTGATGTAGTTGTATGTGACAGTCACTGAAAGGGTTAATTCCTAGAACATGACTTAAGAAATCGTAATGACACGATTGCAAATAAACCATACCCCCGGCCGGGATTGAACCCGCGGTCATTGAGTCTCAAAACTCCAGCCCGTCGCGTTAGCCACTAGACCAGCTAGCCACAATAAGATTCATCCAACTAGGTATATTTCTACACCATAGGAAAGTTAGCACAGGCACCTCTGTGACCACAAATGCAAGTTTTTACAGACGAATCTCCAGCTAGCGTGGCCGTGACGAACTCTAGCTCAAGTCCCTTCACTGCCGTCAACATGACTTAAGAAATCGTAATGACACGATTGCAAATAAACTGGAGTTTTGAGACTCAATGACCGCGGGTTCAATCCCGGCCGGGGGTATGGTTTATTTGCAATCGTGTCATTACGATTTCTTAAGTCATGTTGACGGCAGTGAAGGGACTTGAGCTAGAGTTCGTCACGGCCACGCTAGCTGGAGATTTGTCTGTAAAAACTTGCATTTGTGGTCACAGAGGTGCCTGTGCTAACTTTCCTATGGTGTAGAAATATACCTAGTTGGATGAATCTTATTGTGGCTAGCTGGTCTAGTGGCTAACGCGACGGGCTGGAGTTTTGAGACTCAATGACCGCGGGTTCAATCCCGGCCGGGGGTATGGTTTAATTCCTAGCATGATAGGGCACATATAATGTGTGCTCATGATGATACTCCAGCAGAATTACAAATTGTAGATGACAGGCCTTTCACAGTTCTCAGACACACTTGTCTTATACTTGTGATCAGTAATTTACAGGTATACTTTATCTACTGAAATGACATTTATACAGTCTATATAATGTTTTTGTTTACTTTAGGGGTGGTCGCAGTGCTGAAAATTATTTGCAGAAGGGGGGCATGATGGCTTTCTACAAATACAATTTGAGTGACTTTCGTATTCATTTTGGAATGACAAGGCCACAAGTTGAGGTGTGTATGTTATATACGTGTAAGTAAAATAACTCAATCATCATAGAAAAGTACTGCAGGCTATATTAATAAAATATATGTAAAAATACTATGCAAGTAAACTGACCCAAAATATCAAACAGTCTAAAGAGGAAACAAAAATCTGTTCAGTATTCAGCAAGTTCAAAAGATATTTTTAAAAAGCACTTCCAAGGTCTATTCTGTTTTCATGTGTCTTACAGCAATAGAATACAATACATTTATTTATAAATGAGTGCATATGATTGTTTCATGTTTATAGTACTGTGTACTATACAGACACATGTATAACCATTAGTTTAACCCTTTGACTGTTTCAGGCCCCACTCTAAAACTGTCATTCTATGTCGCTCAATTTTTGAAAAAAAAAATTATTTTTTCTTATGAAATGATAGAGAATATTTTCCCGATGGTAATGACACCAAAAGTTCGAAATTTGGTCGAAAACTCATGGAATTATGCTCCCGCGAAGTTAGCTGTCTCAGCGACATATGCGTATCGGCGATTTCGCCGACTTTGAGCCCTATTTTCAGCCAATTCCGTTGATACAGTTGACCAAACTCATAGCTACTTCTTTAGAACTCCATTTTATCTATCAGCTGAGTACAAGAAACCTCCCATTTACTAATTTGGACTACCCAATATGGTGGTCAGAAATTGGCAATTTGGCCAATTTCACGCAAACTAAAAAAGATGCCAATTTCAAAATAGGGTCCAGAATAAACAAGGTAGACATTCGTGACACTAAAATAACATATGCTCTGTTCATTAGTCACATCTCTAGGCCCCTCTTATATTATTATTGCTTTCTATTTTGATTTTTTATTCATACAAAAAAATACAAAATTTACTACTGCATTATTGTAAAAATGGTATAAATAATATCAGTGCACTAGTGAAAGAATATTAGACTCCCCAGTTGACGTGTATTGGACGTGTGGTGTGATTTATTTACTCCTGAACATTGGTAAAAATCGAACATTTCCGCTACTTTGACCTCAGTTTCAAGGTCGTTTTCATCGTCAAAGTAATGAAAATCATCTCTATTTCTGTAATATGTTTTCCATTTTATCACCTAAGACCATGAAAATGCGAATACAACGATAAATACTATATGAAAATACACCTCAAAGTCGGCGTTTTATTCCAAAAAAATTATCAGTTTTTTTTTTCTCATTACGCAATGTGTGCTGCAGGATTTTTTTTATGTGGTGCACACTGACCACACAGACCCATTCTCTCACATGTGGGCCTACCAGCTTTCTCCCGCTTGATTTGAAGCCGCTAGAATTATTGAGTATATATACGTCAGAAACATTGGCTCGTAAGACGTATTTATACGTCGAAAACAGTCAAAGGGTTAATAATAAAAATTAACTGCAATGCATTTATTAATTATCATTATAATACATAAAATGCATGTGTACACTATTAGTATTAGCATATTATTTTTATTATTGAACTTCAAAAAGTGGTGTATAATTTATGGTATTATATTGCAAGCCTTGGCACATAATCCACAGTTGATGATGTTTTTTCAACAGCCGTATTGAGGATAATTTAAATTGATGTACTGTAGCAATTTAAAATTTGCGTTGGAGTGAAGGTAACATTTTGAAAACTGGAAAGTAAAGTGAAAATCAAATTCTTTACCACTAGCTCCTACTTTTGCACTACCATTCACAGAATTTTCACAATTTCTGAATGTAATAATATGAAGAGATTAATTGTCTAATCTTAAAACTACTGTATATGTTTTTAATCTAATTAGGTGTTCATTTAAATATCGTATATTAACTATTGGTTTCTTCATTCATTCATTTTCATTCTCTCTTTCATTCTTTCTCTCTCCCTCTCTCTCTCTTACTCTCTCTCTTTCACTGTCTTTCACTCTCTCTTTCACTCTCTCTCTTTCTTTTAGCTTTATTTCAATTAAGCATTTCTGCTTTCTCTTGCTCCTCTTTTTTAGTTTTCCCACCTTTAAACACTTGCTGAAAAATCTTTTACGTTAAAGCATCATACTGATTGTTCAGTACTTATTTTGATTGTTACAGGAGCTGTTCACAGAGCTTCAACCTCACTATCGATATGACAGAGGAACTAAGTTGCCCCTTGAAAATGTTGTTTTGGCAAGTTTGTGGGTATTATCAAGCCAAGAGTCATACAGAGTTATAGCAGAGAGGTTTAAGACCAGCAAATCTGTTATCTGCACATCTCTGCATCATTTCTGTAATCTTGTATCAGGAAACCTCGAGAATCGAATAAGTTGGCCCTGTGGAACAGCCTTAGTAGACACTGTCAGGGGTTTTGAAGAAGCTGGTTTTCCAGGCACTATTGGTGCAATAGATTCTTGCCATATTATCATAAACAAACCCAAGGATGTTGAAGAACCTGAGGCATACATGAATGAAAAAAATGTCTTTTGCACTACTTTATTAGCAGTGTGTGATGATAAACATAGGTTCACATATGTTAATGTTGGACATCCTGGAACTTTAGGTGATGCTGATGTTTTTAGGAGATGTGAATTGTTTCAAGCATTCAAAGATGCTCCTGATTCTTTATTGCCTTTAGAATTTCTGCTAGCTAATAACATTTATCCCTACCATATAATTTCTGATGTTGGGTTTCCCCTTTCAGTATATGTTATGACTCCATATGAAGATAATGGCTACTTGACAGCTAGAGAAATTCAGTATAACAAAAGACATTTGTCAGCATTGATGTTAATTTCTAAGTCAATTTGTTTACTAAAGAGTCGATTTAGTCGTCTAAAGATGCTACTTATGCAACATCTTGCACAGTGTAGTGTTGCAATTAAAGCTTGTTGTATTCTCCATAATATATGCATGGAAAATAGTGATTTGGAAATGCTTGACATTGACGAAGATGATATACCTCCTCCCTGTAGTGAAACATGCATGGACTCTCAGCCAATTTGCATTGTTGGGGAAGAAAAACGTAATGCAATTGCAGACTCTTTTATGTAATTTTAATTAACAGGACCCTCAGATTTTCTCTTGTTGCCAGAGAAGCTTTTGAGCTGGTTCCTCTGTGTTGTCAGAGTCATGTGGAAATTTGACATAATAACATTTGTTGTGGCTTTTTTAAAATAAAAAAAAATACCACTATTAAGTTAATTTTATAATTTAATCCATATCCTTTGATAACTATACAGTATTAGCATCTAATGGATAATATCTATTTCTAAAAAATATACAGGTTGTGTTATATTAAATTTTTATGGAATCCCTGAATTTCTGTCATAGGTACCCCGTCAACGGTAGTTCCTTGCCAAGGTGGAGGGGCTCTTGATCAGAGAAATTGGACCTTTACCCCACTTCCCTATCTTGGTTCACCCCTACCCCTTACTTGCTCCTAATCTTTCCACATCTCTCCTGCAAGGGTTTAGCGCTTAATACAGGTCCGGCATCACAAATCCGGCAATCAGTTATTCGGTTCCTTCACTTATTTGGCACTAATTTTGGCTAGTATAATTTCAAATTTCCAGGGTCGCCACATGAACCTGCTGGTATTATTTGGTGGAGCTACTTGCTGCATAAGTCATTCCAATTTCTTTTTCTCCATTTATTGTTATAACCTGCTTACTTTTAGCCCTAGCCATGGTTCCAGTGAATAAAAGAAATGCTTCTCATTATGTAAAGCACCTACACAGTACATTATCCATTAAAGATAAGGTGGCTTTGAAGCCACTGTCGGTTGCCATGAGCTCAGTCTCATGATGCAGGAGAATATGTTTTATTATTACACTAATATCAACACTACAGCTTATTTGCCTATCACAATTGATCTAATACGACATAATAAACAATATAAATAACAAAACATGTTAAATACTCCAGAATAAATAATTTTTTTTTTTTTTTTTTTTTTCCGGGGGGGGGTTCCCACCGGGCAGGGGGGCCCAAAAAAAAAAAAACAAAATTTACCCATCACTTTTCCAAATGCTTTACACTTTTTTTAAAAAATGAACATTCCCCCCCCCTTCAGAGGGAAAACATATTATCCCAACCCCCCTGCCTTCCCAACCCCCTTCAAAAGTTCTTTCTCCATCCCCAAAAACGAAATTTAAAAAGTTCCTTTATCCTAAAAAACCTCCCATCCCGGGTCCAAGCCCCTGCCCCAAAACCTTTTTTACCCTCCCCCCCCAAACCCCTTCCAAAACCCCTACCCCCCTTCCTTCCATACGACTTACCCTTTTCCCATTTTTTCCCTCCACCCTTCTACTTAAACCACCTAAAAAAACCCTTCCCCACCCTCGGGAAACATTTTTTTAATCCCCCCTTCCAACTTCCAAATTTTTCCCTTTTATTACACCCCCTTCCCTAAAGGACCCCCCCCCACCTTCTCCTCCTGCATTTAAACCCAGCTTCACACCCAAAAAAGGTTGGTAAAACATACTTCATAATTCCCCCCTTGCCCAAGGGAAAAGTTTTTTTCTCCACAACCCCAAGCACCCCTCACCTTTTTTTCCCTCTCAATTCATGATTACCTATCTTTTATAACCCATCCCGCACGTCCCCCCCCAAATTCTAAAAATTCACCTCCCCTACCCCTCCCTCCCCAATTTTATATTCAATTTTCTACCCAAAAATTTTTTTTACCCAAACCTTACTCTTTCCTGTTCACCTTTAATTTTTTCTTTCACACCCTCCAAACAAACCCCCAAACCTGCAATTTCTTGAAACTCCAAAGCACTGTATCACAAAAGGCCCCGTGCCTCCCATTTTTGAATTTTATTCTTTTAACCCACCCTCTCCCCAAACCCTGCATTTCTTCTTTACACCCCTCTATAAATATTTTAAAAAACCAGGGGACTACACATCCTGTTTAAAAACCATTTTACGGAAAAAATTTCCCTCTCTGCCAATCCCTAGTACCTTCCCTCTTCCATACATTTATAAAAAATTTGAAAACCACCCTCCAAAACTATATCCCCACCGCTTTAACATTTCTATTTTTTCCCCCATCAACCCCCGGCTGCCTACCCCCTTTCATTTTCCCTACTGCCTCACGAATTTCCCCCAAAACCACAACTGGCTCTTCCTCACTCCACAAGATGTTTTTCCCCTTCCCCATACACGAAATCACAGTTTCCCCCTATTTTCATCAACATTTAACAATTCCTCAAAATATTCCTTCCACTTCCCAATACCTCTAACTTCCATTTTAATAACTCTCCCTCCTTTTTTAAAAACTGACAAAATCCATTTGTACTCTGGGCTTTCTTAACTGTTAATCTCACCCAAATTTTTTCTTATTTTCAAAAAAAAAATTTGTTGAAACATCTCACCCACTCTCTCATTTCTCTTTTTTTACTGCTTCACCACTCCTATAATTTCTCTCTTTTTCCCCCCTTTATACCTTCCCTCCTTGCATCACTTCATTTTTGTAAAACTTCTCAATGCTAACTTTTTCTCCCTTACACTCTTTTTAATCACTTCCACCAATCGTCCTCTTCCCTCCTGCACCCATTTCCTGTAACCAAAAAAATAATAAATTTGGCATAATACCGAGCAGTTTAAAACGGAGGAAAAGAAACAGGTATAAAAATACCATTCCCCTATCCCGTCTTGGGCTTAAATTAGAGAAAACGGAGTAAGCACGGGGCTAGCTGTGATATAACTCATATTTCCCCAAAAACCGAAAAAAAAAAGTTATTTTCTCTAAAGTTTATCAACTATACATATTGTAAACCTTGGAAAACCCAAAAAAAAGTCAACGTGGCTTTTTTCTATACCCGGCTTGGGGTTACCATAATATTTTTGGTAAATTTTTGTTTCCCCAGCCAGGTAAAACATTAGGCTTTCTTTACACCTTTGTCTAATTTACCCATCAAAAAAGGGTACCTGGGTTTACCGACTAGTGTGGGTGTTATCCTGGACACTGACCAAATTTTCTTAAAATACTCGCATAACAAGCAGCTTTCTATAAAAATTTGTCCGATGTCAGCTAGGCCTGTATACCTTGTACATCTATGTGTAGTAAATAAAGAAATAAATTTAATTTTTTCAGTTGTTTGTTGGGTTTTCTTATTTAAAATTGGGCAAGTATGATGGAAAGAACTTTTTACGTACACCCAAAAAAAAAGAAAACAGGCTAAAATAGCGAGTTCACTTCTCAGCCCCTTAGTGGCCGCTTAGCGTATATTTTTTTTATGTTTTTTTGGATAATTCTCATCTTCGGCCCCTTTGATTTGAAGAAAAAATTACAGAAATAGATATGATTTTGATTTCTTTCTGATGAAAATACCTTTAAAAATTTCGCTCGCATCGAAAATGTCTATTCTTTAGCGAAGCTCAAGAGTAAACAAATGACGTCACCGTCCAATACCTGTCCACCTGCCAGTCCAAATTCCAATACATTGTCAAGAATGGGTTGACATTATTTATTCAATTATTACAATAATGCAGCAGTCTGCATAACAGTAAATCTTATATTTTTTTGTGAATAAAAATTCCAAATGGTAAGCAAGAGTAATATAAGAGTGGCCTGTAGCCGTGACTAATGAACAGAGAAAATGTTATTTTAGTGCCAGGAATGTCTGCATTGTTTATTCTGGACCCTATTTTGAAATTGGCATCTGTTGAAATTTGTGTAAAATCGGCCAAATTGCCAATTTCTGATCACTTTATTGGGTAGTTGAAATAAGTGAATGGGCAGTTTCTTGTACTCATTTGACAGACTAGAAGTAAATAAGTTTATTCAGGTATACACAAATACAGTTACATAGATTATCATACATAGCAGTGTATGTATAGAGAACCTGGGATAACCCAGAAAAGTCAGACAAAGTGACTTATTCCCAGTACCTAGCTTGGGCTTGCCATATATGATTTTTGGTAAATATTTTTTTTCTCGGTTGTTTGTTGGGCTATCTCACTGAAACTTGGACAATGTGTGATGGAAAGATGCTTCTTAACGTACAACAAAAATAAAAAAGACGGACAATAAATAAGGGAGTTCACTTCTCAGCCATTAGCCGCCTCTTTGCAGTATATTTTCGTATGGTTTTTATGGTTGTATTCTCATTTTTTGGACTCATTTGATAGAATGGAAGAGTATAATGTTCTATGTATGTAGTAGGTGTAAGAATAAGTATGGATGCTCTTTACTGTGAGTAGTTTTAGACTTTTGAATGTTGGTGGAGTATGATGTCTGGAGTGGGAATTTGTTATCATTCTGACTGCAGCCTTTTGCTATGTTATTAGTGATTTTAGGTGATTTAATGTTGTTGATCCCCATGCACAGATTCCATAGGTGAGATAAGGGTAGATGAGTGAGTGATACAGTGCAAGGAGAGCCGATTGTGGAACATAGTACCGTATCTTTGATAGTATGCATATTGTTTTAGAGATTTTCTTGGAAATTTGTTGTATATGGGTCTGGAATTTCAGGCTACTGTCAAGGTGGATTCCTAGGAATTTTCCCTCTGTGCATCTTGTGATGGGTGATCTGTTTAGTGCTATGTTAAGTGGAACACTTGTGGCTCTGTCTCCAAATTGAATGAAATAGGTTTTGTCAGTATTGAGTGTAAGCATGTTAGTCATCATCCAGGTAAATATTTTCTGCAATTCAGCATTAAGTGTTAGCCAGTATGACTGGGTTTGGGTGAGGGAAGACGTATATTGTATCATCTACAAATAATATGGGTTTGAGTAGTTGTGATGCATTCAGTAGGTCATTGATGTAAATGAGAAAGAGGAGAGGGCCAAGAACACTTCCTTGTGGGACCCCAACTGTAATTGGTTGTGTGAAAGAGTTAGCTCCATTTGTGTACACATATTGGTAGTTGAGGGAGTGCCCTCTTATACCATAGTGTGTTAATTTAATGTGCAGCAAATCATGGACGACCGTATCAAAAGCTTTACATAAATCAATGAAGATTCCCAGTGGGACTTCTTTCTTTTCAAGAACAGTGTATATTAGTTCTAGTGTGTGTACAATAGCATCATTTGTGCTTTTATTAGTCCTGAATCCAAACTGAGAGGGGTTGAGTATGTCTTGAGAGACAGGGTAGGAACAGAGCTGTCTATGAATTAATTTTTCAAAGATTTTAGAGAGTAGAGGTAAGTTAGATATTGGTCTATAGTTATTCAAGTCTGTTTGATCTCCTCCT